GTGGCTCAGCCTGTAATCCTAGCACTTTGGGAGGCCGAGGCGAGTGAACTGCCTGAGCCCGTCGGTTTGAGACCAGCCTCAGCAACTTGGCGACAATGCGTCTCCACAATAAATAAATAAATAATTAGCTGGGTGTGGCAGTGTGCGCCTGTAGTTCTGGCTACTTGAAAGGCTGAAACGGAAGGATCACCGGAGCCCAGCAGGTTGACGCTGGGATGGCCGTGAGTGTGCCAATGGCACTCCAGCCTGGGCAACAGAGTAAGGCTCCAATTAAAAAAAAAAAAATGTAAAATCTTGTTCAACATAGACAATTTTGCACTAATTTTGATTTTATAAAATATTGTATTAAGCTATTCATTGTCTTGGTTACTGAGTCCTTTGGTAGCCCTTGCATTTTCATCCACAGCAAGTGCCTCATCCTCCTCTCCCTGGTCCCAGCTTTGCCACTTGGACTTGGATTAGCACATTTTTTAGTCACAGGCTTTAGGCCCTACGTTAGGGATTGGTTCTGCCATTGGGTACCCAGGTTGTTCCAGCTCCTGGAACTTCATGGCAGAGAGAGAAGGGAAGGTTGGGGGAGATGGTACACAGTGGTCTTGTTTTCTTTTGATTCCTTGTTCCCATGTAATATTCATTCTAAGTACTTGCCACCTTGTGTTTTTTGTGGGGTTTTTTTTTTGAGTCGGGGTCTCACTCTGTCGCCCAGGCTGGAGTGCAGTGGCATGATCACAGGTCACTTCAGGCAATCCTTCTGCCTCAGCCTCCCGAGTAGTTGGGATTACAGGTATGAGCCACCACACCTGGCTAATTTTTTATTTTTTGTAGTGACGAGGTCTCACTATGTTGGCTAGGCTGATCTTGAACTCCTGGACTCAAGTGATCCTCCTGCCTTGGCATCCCAAAGCGTTGGGATTACAGGCATGAGTCACGGCGCCCAGCCAGCTACCTTTTCTATGTCTGATTGTTCCAAAGGGAAGAGCTGGCAGGGTTGGGCAGTGAGGGGGGCAGGGGCGCCATGGTCTGGAGTGCACCCCTGACACCCCACCCTTTCCACAGGAAATAACTTCAAGGAAGAATCTGCGGTGCTGTTCTGCCAAGCCCTGTCGGTAAGAAGCCGGGGTGCAGCCAAGTCCCATGGGAGATGTCCCTGGACCACCTGGGGCTGCTACGGACAGGCACAGTGAGACCACTTGCATGCCTTGGGGAGCTCGGGGAACTGTAGACTCCGCCAAGCCCGGGGCAACAAGTGGTAGGGCCGTAGCAGGTGGTAGGGCAGCTTGGATGGCACAAGTTCTCCCTGCAGCCATCAACAGTGAAACACAAAATGACCAGGAAATGGTTTTTGCCTAATTTTTGGTTCATGGGAACCCCCATCTCACTGCCCCGAGGTGAGTGAGATCTTTGTAACCTTTCTTTCCTCTGTTTGCTTCTCTAGAACAATTACCGAATTAAGAGCCTGGATCTCAGTCACAACCAGTTCTCAGATGTAGCTGGAGAGCACCTGGGACAGATGCTGGGTGAGCCCCATGGAGGGAGGGGGCCAATGCAGGGAGAGGGGAGCAGGGCTCACCTATCAGCTGAATCTCCCTTTTTAAAGTATTTTTAGCCGGCCGTGGTGGCTCACACCTGTAATCCTAGCACTTTGGTGAGCTGAGGCAAGAGGATTGCCAGAGCCCAGGGGTTCGAGACCAGCCTGGGCAACTTGACGAGACCTCGTCTCTACAATAAACAAAAAAAATTAGCTGGGCGTGGTGGCATGCACCTGTGGTTCCAGCTACTTGGAGGGCTGGTCAAATCTGCAGTGGCCGCAAGCATGCCACTGCACTCCAGTCTGGGCGGCAGAGTGAGTCTCTGACACACACACAAAAAAGTGTGGTTGCTCAGCTTCCACTGTTGGCTGACTGGTGGTGTCACTGACTTAGGGAAAACCCAGGGAGTGACAGCCATCGAGGGACAGCACTGGGAGTCTAGTTTCCATGTCAGCCAGGCAACATTTGTGTTCCATCTGAGCCCTGCATGGAGATGTCAGGTCGGTGCTCTAGAGCTTAGAGTTACTCAGCAGTGAGATCAGTGAGCTCAGAATTAGAATTTAAAGTGTGTGGACATTTAAGAGATGCAGCCGTGCAAGGTACAACCTAAGTAAGGGACTAAGGGTGAGCAGAGAGGAGGGAGAGAGAATGCAGGCTGGAGACAGCATGCTCCCCAGATTGCAGAGGGCACCATGCGCTTTCCCAAAAATGCACCCTGGGAGTTCACACAGAGAGCAGCATGATCAGGACACAGTGCCAGCCCCTGAAAATGAGACAAAATAAGACATTTTCCGAGACTGAGGCCTAGAGGTGAATCCTGCCACTCAGTGGTGGGTCAAGAGGACGTCAGCCTCTCCTTCTGAGGGAATCTTCAGCATTACAACCCTTCCCAAAGAAAAGTAACAACAGGCCGGGCACAATGGCTCACGCCTGTAACCCCAGCACTTTGGAAAGCCAACGTGGGAGGGTTGCCTGAGCCTAGGAGTTCGCGACCAGCCTGGGCAACATAGTGAGCCCTCATCTCCGCAAAAAATAAAATAAAATTAGCCAAGCGTGGTGTCATGCACCTGTAGTCCCAGCTACTCAGGAGGCTGAGGTGAGAGGACTCCTTGAGCCCAGGAGGTTAAGGCTGCAGTGAGCCATGATCGTGCCCCTGCGCTCCAGCCTAGAATACAGAGTGAGACTCCGACTCAAAATAAAATAAAGTAAATAAAAATGTAACAACAATAATGTGTTTAAATGTGTTAAATAGGATATGTCCCCAACCCTATGGAGCATGTAAGCATCTTTGGATCCAAAAAACATGTGATTTCTGTGCAAACCCAGCTTCTCGACAGGACTGATGCTTCCCTGGGACTGTGTCCCCAAGGCTCTCAGGAGAGTTCTGGAATCCCCACAGCTCCTGGGGCTCTTCATGACAAAGAATCCCAGGACGTAACACACATGTCCGTCATAGTCTGCCTGTGTGACACAGGCTCTAGGGACGTCCTGCAGGGGCCCTGCTCATTGCAATGCATAATATTCCACCACCCAGAACATTCTCTCTTCTCCAAACAAAGCCGCGAGAAACACCTTCGAGTATGCAGCCCATCTGTATATCGCACTGTCTTCTTGGGTAGAGTCTCAGAGCTGTGTGATGGGATTTACACATTTTAATGGGAAAATAAATCTGTGATCAGGTCACGTTTGCCAAATCGACTACAGTGATTAACTTACCATCTGCAATACGTAAGTGGGAAACTTCACTGCATCTTTGCCAGCATGAGGAATCACCTCACACCTTTGTGCTTAAATGAATAACTGGAAAAATGTGTCTGTTTCACGTGGCATGATCACTAGGTGGTCTCATCCCCGATGTCATGGGTGGCTGCTAACTCTGAAAAGGGTTCCCTGGGACATGGGGGCACTGAACCGACTCCCTCCTCTCCAGCCATCAACGTGGGGCTCGAGTCGCTGGATCTGAGCTGGAACCACTTTCACACGCGGGGCGCTGTGGCCTTGTGCAGCGGTCTCCGGGTAAGGCACTCTCCAGGGTGGCATGGTGAGCACAGGCGAGGATGGCTAGGGCCTCCCGTCCTGCCTCACGAACCTCTTCCTCAGGGTCGCTGCTGGGAAGGGCATGCTGAGCTCTCGCCAGGTACTCCGCAGGGTGTCATCTCCCCAGAAGTCCTGGGTGCACGCTGAAATAGAAGTCCTATCAGCTGAGGCCTGGTGGCTTCTTTGGGGACACCACAAGCGGGCAGTTTAATGAGGGGGTGGGCAGAAGCCAAAGGGAGCGAGCCTCCAGAGTAGCCAAGACGGAGTCCTGGTGGGAGGGCCCGGACCCAGCGAGCACAGGGTGCCATCAGGGGTCAAAGTCAGCCCGTCTGATCGAACAACCACACGCAGCCCTGATGCGGTGCTGTCCTTCTTCTCCCTGGAGGGAAATGTGACACTCACAAAGCTGAACCTCTCCATGAACGGCTTCGGGAACGAAGGGGCGCAGGCCCTGGGGGAGCTGCTCAGACTCAACAGCTGCCTGGCCCACCTGGACGTCAGCAGGAACAACATCAGCAACGAGGGCGCCACCAGGATCAGCCGAGGCCTGGAAGCCAACGAGAGCCTCAGGGTTCTGAAGGTGCCTCCAGCCCCGCCCAAAGGGGTCGCTGTGTGTGTGTCTGTGTGTGTTGGTGTGCGGGCGTGTCTTTGTGTGTCCGTGTGTATCTGTGTGTGTCATGTGTGTATCTGTGTGCGCATGTGTCTCTGTATGTCCCTGTAGGTCTGTGTGTATCTGTGTCTGTGTCCGTGTGTGTCTGTGTGTGCCCATGTGGTTCTGTGTGTATCTGTGTGTGTCCGTGCGTGTTTGTGTGTACCTGTGTGTGTTTGCATGTGTCTCCGTGTGTGTGTGTCTATGTTAGTGTTCGTCCCATGTGTCGGTGTGTGTCCTGTGTGCCTGTCTGTATCGGTGTGTATTAATGTGTGTCCATATATGCATCTATGTCCATGTGTGTCTGTGTATCTTTGTGTGTTCGTGTGTGTCCATATGTGTGTCTGTGCATATCTGTGTGTGCTCATGCCTGTAATCCTAGCACTCTGGGAGGTTGAGACAGAAGGATTGCTTGAGCCCAAGAGTTCAAGACCAGTCTAAGCAATATAACAAGACCTCATGTCTATAAAAAAATTGAAAAATTACCCAGGCAAGGTGGTGCACACCAGACATCCCAGCTACTTGGGAAGCTGAGGCAGAAGGATTGTCTTAGCCCAGGAAGTTTAGGCTGTGGTGAGCCATGATCATGCTACTGTACTCCAGCCTGAGCAACAGAGGGAGACCCTGCCTCTAAATAATAATAATAATAATGACGACGACTAATGTTCATTGACTGCTAACTGTGTACCAGGCACTCTTTTGAATGCTTTGCCTGATTGACAGAGCAGCCGCAGGTGACAGACACAAAGTAGACAAGGAATTCAAGCAAGGCCAGGCAGCTGGCAAGCAAAACCCCAACTACACATCCCCCCACCTCGTGAGCCCCCATCCATGCTTCATGGCTCCCAGCACACTGGGATAGCACCCCCACTCCTTAGCCAGGCCCACGAGGGCCTCTGTGGTATGGCCCATCCCAGCTCTGTGGTCTCCTTGTGTGTGACACCTTGATTTTGGACTTCAACCTCCAGAATGGTGAGACAACACATCGTCTCACACATCTCCACCTCGGCGCTTGCCTGCCTGTTTCTTCCTTGGTGAACTGCATTACCTCCCCTGATTCTACTCCCCTCTTCTCAGACTTGACTAATCCTCAGTAATCCTGCAAGGCTTAGCTCAGTGGGCCCCTCCCCTGTCCTTTCTTCTGCACTACCCATGTGTATCTGTCACTGCTGTCGTCACACTTCTGACACCATTGGCTTGTTAGCCTGTCTCCTCCAGTTAGAGCCTCCCTCAGTGTTTAGCCTAGTGGCTGGCACACGTCAGGCCTCTAGTCAGTATGTGTCGCATAGATGGATGGATGGATAGATAGACAGTTGGACCTATGGATGGAGGGATCTGTGGATGGATGGATGAATGGACTTATGGATGAAGGGATCTGTTGGATGGATGGAGGGAGGGAGGGAG